ATCATGTTTCAGATGTTTATGAATTGTAAGCAATTTAATCAAAAAGATATTTCCCTTCTAAACTCTCAGTTGATCAAAGAAAAGTAAAAAAAAAAAAAGAACAAGAAGAAGAAGAAAATGAACTTAGTTTCTTCTCCACTCCTCTTGATCACTTGATCATCTCACGACCCTTGGCTAGTGATGCTTTAACTTCTAGGCTGGAAACCACTGGACTACACCATTTGCAAATGAAAAACAGGCTTAAAACCATTAAGACAAAATGTTCTTACCAAAAAAATTAAACATCGGACTGCTTAGAGGGTCTTTTAGTACAACCAGACACTGAGTAGGATTTTTTTAGACCAAAACTTCGCAATTAACTTTCATGAACTGAAAACACAATAAAACAGTCACAGCTACAGCTATAGCCATCTCTGTAAATCTGGGGTTTCAATGTGGTACGTTACCTAACCAACCTTGTCACTGTGTTAACCACTTGTCAACGGACAGCACACAACATTAAGTCAAAGCAGCAACACCCTTAATTATGCTTAACTAAGCCTTAATTAAATTTATTTTAATGAGTGAGTTATAAAACAATTTAAACACACACACACACACACACACACACACACAACACACACACACACAAACACCAACCTTCATTTTCTAGCCCTGGCGGTTGCCTCTTGGATTAAACTAACTAACTGTTTATTTAGTGGTTAAAAGCAGCTCCACCTCGAGCAGCTGCAATAGGAAAATGCTGCTCTAACATTAATACCACAGTAACAACATCTAATAATGTCAGATACGATTTGATACTAATAAAAAGTCGGTCACTTTTCTGCAAAACGAGTACTTTTCCCTTTGATACCTTTATTACATTTAGCTGATAACACTCAAAACCCTTTGTGATAATGATGCCAAAACTGCAGTGTTATCCATTCAAAACAAGAACATTTGTCTTAGTTCGCTAAAAGATAACATTTGGGAGATTATGGGACTGCGACACAATGTGAAGTTTTGAGTTTTTCAGTATTTTTATTATTATTTAATATTATATATTATTCTTTTATTTTGTTCATTCATACTTTTTAAAATCCCTGCCATAAAGAAATTAACCCGGTGAATTAATCATTTATGACAATCACTTTTCAATTGTTTTTTTTTCCTCAAAAATGTTTGGGCCAGCTGATGTCATATGATATAATAAAACAAATAAATCAGGCGTAATACTGTTTGTTTCTAAATAAGCATGTGTTTTGAATGTGTATTTAATTTTGCTTAAAAAAAAAGAAGTCATAATCACAACCATCTGTTTACAGTATTATGTAACAAAGAGACACTTGGTAAAAAAATGTCCATAATATCCCTCCAATAAAAGCCATATTTGTCTAATTATCTTAGACAGTTTTGTTTTTATATGTCAGCTGAAATTTTATTGATCCCAAAACAAAACCATCTCACATTCTGTACATGTGCAGCAGAGAAATGCTGCTAAGTGGGGAAGTGAAAGTGTATCAATTACACTATCTAAGTTCATAGGTGTAACTGTACATATA